ATAATGCAGAGTTAGTTTCTATGCAACACTCAAATGTATGTATATCACAGGCCACATGTCTTGCCTTTCAAGGTCTCTTCGTTATTTCTCTCCAGTCTATACTAATACTGTTTCCTTGTCTAATGTTTAGGGCATGTTACCAGTACTAATGTATGAAGAATAGCACCATGCATGTCCACCAGGAGTCAGTAGGATCCTCTGAGCCCAGAAGATAGGCGAAGTAAATAATAATACTCTGATATCAACCTTTAAGGAGTCATTGATTCCCACAGAAGGCCAAAACATAACTGGGCATATACGCAGCACATGGATGACAATGACTTAGGCCTGTTGCTATTTTAAAAATATGGATGTGCATGTAAGCCTTCCAAAATCAGACTCCTGGCCAAGTTTATGCAAGATGTATGCCTTTAGAGGCATCTGTCATCAGACAAGGGAGCTAGATACCCTGTTTCCCTGAAAATAAGACCTAACCTGAAAATAATCCCTAGTATGATTTTTCAGGATGCTCGTAATATAAGCCCTACACCAAAAACAAGCCCTAGTTAAATGAAACCCCGCCCTCCACCATTGTGCAGCATTGTGCAGCAACCAGAAGATGATGTGACTGTAAAATAAAACATCCCCCGAAAATAAGCTCTAATGCGTTTTTTGGATCAAACATTAATATAAGACCCTGTCTTATTTTCGGGGAAACACAGTATGTACAGGGTTTTTTTTTAATAGAAATTTTGAAACACAAGGAGAGGGTTTGGGAAAATTGATCAACAGGAGGAATTGACATATATTCTCATGAAAGCTGGTTTATCTTACTGAATTAACAATGTGAAATGCATCATTTATAATTTAGGTTGTATTGAAATCTGATGCACAGTTAGTCAAGAGTAAACCCTGCTGGACTTTGTGAGATTTATTTCTGAATAAACACATAGGATTACACTGTTGGCATATGAAGTTGTAGTATTCAGAGTACAAGTGTATAGAGCATGTTGACTCAGAAATAAGATCCACTTTGTTTTGTGATCCTTACCATCACAAAACACACAGTATTGACAACTTCAAAAGCAGATAGGAACTGTGCTATACACAAAATCTCCCATTATGTTGCAGAAGGAGTATGTTTAGCACACTCTCAAACGGTACAACTGTCTTGTATGGTCCTCTTTTGTAGTTCGTAGCACTATGCACAAGAAGGCTAATGTACTTCTATGGTATCTATAGGAACTGTAATTTGCATGTACTGTAGGCTCTTTTACATAAAGGTCTTCATACTTTGTATTGAGTAGGCAAAATGTTGTTTTAAAAATATTTTATTCCAAAAAGAAACATATTTTGTGGAAACATTTTTTTCTGAATGTTTTTGGAATTCTAACCACCACCACATCTAGAAGCAGTCCAATGCTGGGCAGATTCTTACCTGTGAAACAAAAGTTTTGAAGTAGAGATGGGCATGAATCTTGCATGTCCCCTTCCCTTGCCTCCCTGGCCAATGCTCCACTCACCAGCTGAAACATGTTCCTCTCCTCCTCCTTTTCGTTAGTTCAGCCAGTCCCCAGGAATAGCCCCAGTGTGATCGTCCACTCAGACGAGGAGGCAGGGCAGGAAAGCCTGTGTTCTTGCCGTGGAGTGGCTGAACAGGAGAAGAAGAGGAGAAGAAGAGGAGCATGCACTGGCTGATGAGTGGGGGAATCCAGTGGGAGAGGGGGGAAAGGGAATATGCAGCACCTGTGTTGCCACACTTATGAACTGGCACAAACTTCCAAACACATGTTCGTGCCCATCTCTATTTTGACTACATGCATTGCCCAGGCTGACAGCCCTCCTTCTTATGCCTTCAAGGCTCCCCCCCCCATTGACAATTTTTCGCAGTCTCCAAGAAGAGGAGGTTGGGTGTTTCCCCTCTGTATGTGTGTGTGCAGAAGAAAGAAATATGTACAGTATCTTCCAATTAAAAGTAACACTGTGCATATAAATGAAGTGGGCTTGCCATGTTAAATCTAAGCAAACTCACCTTTTTAAATTAGTGTTTAAGAGGTTTTTACTTTTCTGCCATTATGTGCTAACTTTTTTGTGGTAAAGGAATATTAGTGTTTGTCAGAAGAAAGAATTTAAGAGCTTGGATTTTCTTCTCAAGAAACGCACAGACTTGGTTTGTGTTTCTGCTAATTAAGGACTGAGAGCTTGTAGTGCAGTAGTACACAGCTAGAATAAACTATACAGCCAGTTAACACATTTCTGTGAACACGAGGTTTGTACTATTCTAACTAGCCCATAAGCACACCGTTCAACTCTCTTTGAAGCCCTACAGTATTTCTATTATCCTTCTCTCTTTTTCTTTTCCTTCCCTTCTCTAATTTTTTGTGCACCATGTTTCAGTTGCTTCTTTCTCTCTTTTTATGTTTCCCATTACACAGTATTCTGTGCACCATGGTGGAGTCTCCTTTAAGCTCTGGTTTTCTTTATGTTGCCTTCACAGTGCATTTGGGCATTCATTTGAGCACAGAGAGCACAGAAGAATTTTTTTTCCACACAAGTGGCATGCAGCTGCAGCCCATGTGTAATATGCACTGGGAAGTTGTTTCAGGAACATGGATTTGCAATTTTTTTTAGATGTATACTTAAAACACTTTATGTGTATTCATAAAAATGTAATGTGTGATTTGTATGTGAAAAAAATACTTGAAAGATAGGCTGTGTGTCCTAGGTATCTGCAGTAGGCTACACCTGCTTCACTGAGAACTTATGAGTCTGGGATAATATGCATTATTCGACTCCCTGTGTTGATAGGCCCACAGAAAGATGGAAATGAGGTATTTTGGAATTGCTCAGTGGGCTGAAAATAATCAGAGAAAGGCTACAGTTTTTCCTATGTGTGAAAAAGGAGGACAGTAGGTTTTAGACCTGACAAGTGACCTGGGATCATTATTGACAATGCAAGCAAGAAGTCACTGGTTCATCTTTTGCCAGTAATGAATATACAGAAATTTTTGACAACATACTGTGATATAAGCACAGCAAGTCTTTCCTTTTTTTCATGAGTATTATAAAGATTACTGATATAATGTATAGGAAGTGTTTGAGAACTGCTGTGCACTATGTACTTTTGCTTTATTGAGTAAATAACATTGATTTGGCTGGATTATTGGCTTCTGACAGGAGATAAATGATTTTGCTTCCCTAAAATCATTGTAGCTTTTGTATTGCTAACATGTGGGTAAGCAATTTAAGTGCTTTCACAGTGCCTAAATATATATTTAAAATGAATTGTTTTGAAATAATAGATAAGACGGGAAAGCTGTTTTGTTTCTGGCAAGGA